AGAGAGAGAGAGAGAGAGAGAGAGACGGAGAGAGTGAGAGAGAAAAAGAAAGAGAGAAACAGACAGAGTTAGAGAGAGAAAGAGAGAGAGAAAGAGGGAGAGAGAGAGAGAGAGAGAGAGAGAGAGAGAAAATGTTACTTACCAGCTTTCCAGAGCTCCAGCTCAGTTGAGAGACTTTCACCAACTCGTCCGTAAGAAGCAAAGTCGCTGGCCTGTAAAGAACACAACACCCGTCCGTTCATTCGGTGGAACTGAGCAGAAATGTTGGAGAAATTGTTCTTCTGACACACCCAGGAGACCCAGGTCTGGACATTCTCCACATCCCACAACATGGGGTCTGTGCAAGGAAGACAAAAATGAAATGTTCAGATATTGAATTTGTCAGTAAACTTTGTGAAAAAATTCACAAACTGCAGAATTAATCAAACTCAACGCCAGGGGCAAAATGTTTCTTTCACTCACAGATAAATTTTCGTTGCTTCACTTAAACAGGTGAGCGTTATATAGTCTATCGTAAATATATTTGATGGTGAGAAAAGTTTAAACAGTAAATAACTATAAAAATCATAATATTTCATAGAATTAACTTCATAATTACATAGTGATTTCTCAAGACATTTAAAGGTTAAAAGATATTATGGTTTCAGTATGTACAATGGCGCAGCCATTGATAATAATTATTATTTGCTATATATATGAGGAAACATTTTCACTCACCATATGGCACATTCAGTTTGTCACAGTCATGATGAATAACGTCTCTCATCAGTACAACGGCTTCTTCCAAGCTATCACTGCCTTCTGCGGCCGGCGTGAAACTTTCCAACTTCATCGGCTCTGACATAGGTCTGACATCATCATAGAAAGACGAAGGCTGCTTATCAAGGTCAAGGTAATCAAAACTTCCCTCAGGAACACACATGGATGGTGGAGCAACGTTTTCGGACAGAAGACTATGAGTGGACGATGGATAAGAGTCTCCGCTGAGAAAGTCTGTTGAGTAGCCTGAGTTTGGCTCTGAGGGTGTCACCAGTGTGCACCCACTGCCTCCAAGCTCTGTGACAAAAGTTCTTGTCTTCAAACCACCACTGCTTTCGCTAATGACTTTTGGCTCAGACTTGACGATGCTGGGAAAGGAGGTTGTGGAAGATGCGTCTAATGATGAAACAGCGACTGATGACAAGAGAGGGGAGGAAGAGGCTGAGTGAAGTCCACTAGAAACACTAGAAAAAGAGCTGCTACTGCTGTAGGTGTTGATGTTGTGTTCAGGTGAAGAGGAGGTGGCAGAAACTGTGAGAGGAATGTATTGAGGTTGCACGGAAATGTCGCTGTTTCTGCTGCTGCTAATAGTGATGGTGTCGGTGTTGCTGCCGATGCTGCTCTCTGTGCTGGCCAGAATCTGAGCCATGTACATGTCGATATCAACCTGCTGCTGGGAGTTGGGTGACTCCATCTTGACCTCTGTTTTAATATCGCCTGCCTCCAGGTAGGAGCGAGCTTGAGGGACCTGGGAGGAGAAACAAATTATAAGACATGAGGTAAGAACATCCGGTACGAGAAAAAGATACAGAGAAGAACAGGACAGTTAAAGTGTACCAATGTGAGCCTGTAGCGGGTTTGTATGTGTGAGGAAGACAGAGAGAGAAAAGGATCAAAGTCTTGCTATAGAAGAAAAAAGCCATCTTAAAATGAATAGCATTAATTTATTATATAAGAAATAAAGGCAGGCTTTAGCTCTAACAAAAGAATGGAGTTTTTGAGTTAGGAACATTTCCGGTGTTTTCAAAGCAGGCTCAAATAAAAAATGAAACTGAAAACAGAAGACAAATTCAACTTTGACACAACCTGCACCAGAGCTTCTTGACATTGACACTGGCAAGGAAAGAGCAAAACACTCTGGTTGGAACGTTATGACATGACACAGGCCTGGGCCACAGTAGCTGTAACTACTGGCACTACTGCTGAAAACTCGATTCTGTTCGGTGCACTTCTGGTGTGTGTGAGGAAGAGAGAGAGAGAAAGAGAGAGAGAGAGAGAGAG